GAACCACACAATATACCCCACGAACCACACAATATACCCCACGAACCACACAATATACCCCACGAACCACACAATATACCTCACGAACCGCTTAACACATCTGCCCTTTGAACATCAAAAAAAAAATTATTTAAATTATAAAATAAGTCGAAGTTAAAGCAAGTTGTATTTTTAATATTATTAACACATGAATATTTTAATTGTGATAATTACCATACAGAACAACTATTCATAATTACCATACATAACGACTATACATATTTGATCACTTAAGTAATCCTTGTCATAAGTTTGAAAGCAATTCACTCCAGAATGTGCTATGTATGCGACTGTGTATTCATACATTCAGCGTTCATTCGTTCATACATGCAGTATGAATAGGGTATGTATATTTGTAATACACCTTCTTACAACTTTTATATATATCAAAATGGAAATTGCGATGTCAGACTCCGAATTGTGCGACGACGTTGCTCGCGCCTCATAACTCATAAATGATGAGACACTTCTCATATAGGAGAGGCGCTTGAGAATGTGTGTGTGTGTGTGTGTAATATATATATATATATATATATATATATATATATATATATATATATATATATATATATATATATATATATATATATAGAATATATGACAGGTGTAGAGACATATATATGACAAGTGTTGAGACATACATGACAGGTATGGAGACGTATGTATATGACAGGTGTGGAGACGTATATATACATATATATGACAGGTGTGTTCGCGGTAAAAGTAACGTTAGTGCTCAAGTACTGTACATCACGGACATCTGCATCACGAAAATATTGAATATTGATTGACGCATCAATTAACGAGGCAGTTGAAGTGGTCTGACGCCCCACAAGGGGTCAGATAAGTGGCTTTTGGGATTCTATATTACAAGTTGTAATTCCTTGGGGTCGGGTTTTTGTTCCAAAATACAGAAATATTAAGCAGGCGACGAGTCACAACAACGTGGCTGAAGTTTGTTGACCAGACCACATACTGAAGATGAAGGGAGGACGACGTTTCGGTCCTTCGTAGACCATTCTCAAGTCGATTGTGACGACTTGAGAATGGTCCAGAACGGACCGAAACGTCGTCGTCGTCCCTTCACTTTCTAGAGGGTGGTCTGGTCAACAGAAATATTAAGTTCTCATCAATAGCTTCGATTTCTTAATTACGTTATTAATGTAAACTCGTATACTGTCCCACTAGGCTGAGACTGAATCCGTTTCGCATTTCTCATTATGCAACGAGGCAACTTCTTTCTCATCTGTCTAAAGCTAAGGAAGACTTTGTCTCTCGTCTGTCGTAAGTCAAGATAAGGATCGTTTCTCATCTTCATATGCCAAGGTGGAGGGTCGAGTGTCTTCTAACTTACGTAAAGGTGAGTTTATGATCATTTCTCACAAAGATGAGACTTGTTGTACCTAGTTGTGAACATCTTGGTGGTCCTTGCAAGATTGCCAGAAGTGTTCTTGGGTTCTTGCAAGATTCCATTATATATATATATATATATATATATATATATATATATATATATATATATATATATATATATATATATATTATTCAATATGACCGAAAAAGTAAGATTAATAATTCTAACACGAATTTTCTCAATCTTTCGTACATTTCTTTTCACATTTCTTTTCGTGAAAAGAAATGTAGGAAAGATTGAGAAAATTCGTGTTAGAATTATTAATCTTACTTTTTCGGTCATATTTAATAATATATGTCTACAGGAAAGACTGCTACCAAAATATACTAATATATATATATATATATATATATATATATATATATATATATATATATATATATATATATATATATATATATATACATACATATATAATATCGATAAATGTTCTGGATTGGCGGTTGTATAATAGAGATTGTTAGAGTATTAGAGAATACAAGCTGTATTATCCATACAAGGGAGCCATACCTTCTAAGTAGTGTACAGTGGACTCTAACAAACCTATGTATTAATGTTGTATGCATGCCAGGTTTTTGGGTTGTATGATTGTATAATTTGTAAGTATTGATGTGCGAGTAGTGGAGATGTACAACAATGCAGGTAGATACAACTGTTCCTTGCTAGTGTGATAACTCCAGCCTAGTTGTTATATATATTTGCATTTTTGAGAGTTGTTGAAAAGATACTTTTTATATGATGGTATTTGGATGAAAGAGTACCAGATGCTATATGTGTGTGGTTCTATGTATAGTCAAGTGGGGGTAGTTTGTTGACTGTCATAATGTTATGGATCAATTCTTTATTACCCATTAACTTGTGGCCCCAACCCCTTATTGTCCACCACCCCATGATCACCACCCCATGATTACCACCCCATGATTACCACCCCATGATTACAACCCTATGACCACCACCCTATGATCACCACCCCCATGATCACCACCCCATGATCACCACCCCCATGATCACCACCACCCCTATGATCACCACCCCCATGATCACCACCCCCATGATTACCACCACATGATTACCACCCCATGATCACCACCCCATGATCACCACCCCCATGATCACCACCCCCATGATCACCACCCTATGACCACCACCCCATGATCACCACCCCCATGATCACCACCCCCATGATCACCACCCCATGATTACCACCCTATGACCACCACCCCATGATCACCACCCCATGATCACCACCCCCATGATCACCACCCCCATGAACACCACCCCATGATCACCACCCCATGATCACCACCCCCATGATTACCACCCCATGATCACCACCCCATGATCACCACCCCATGATCACCACCCCATGATCACCACCTCATGACCACCACCCCATGATCACCACCCCCATGACCACCACCCCATGATCACCACCCCATGATCACCACCCCCATGATCACCACCCCATGATCACCACCCCATGATTACCACCCCATGACCACCACCCCTATGATCACCACCCCCCATGATCACCACCCCATGATCACCACCCCCATGATCACCACCCCCATGATCACCACCCCCATGATCACCACCCCCATGATCACCACCCCATGATCACCACCCCCATGATCACCACCTCCATGATCACCACCACCCCATGATCACCACCCCCATGATCACCTCCCCATGATCACCACCCCCATGATCACCACCCCCATGATCACCACCCCTATGATCACCACCCCATGATCACCACCCCATGATAACCACACCCATGACCACCTAGCCACCAACCCCCTCCACCTAGCCACCAACCTAGCCACCCACCTAGCCACCAACCCCCTCCACCTAGCCACCAACCTAGCCACCACCCTCCACCTAGCCACCAACCCTCCACCTAGCCACCAACCCTCCGCCTAGCCACCAACCCTCCGCCTAGCCACCAACCCTCCGCCTAGCCACCAACCCTCCGCCTAGCCACCAACCCTCCACCTAGCCACCAACCCTCCACCTAGCCACCAACCCTCCACCTAGCCACCAACCCTCCACCTAGCCACCAACCCTCCACCTAGCCACCAACCCTCCACCTAGCCACCAACCCTCCGCCTAGCCACCAACCCTCCGTCTAGCCACCAACCCTCCGCCTAGCCACCAACCCTCCGCCTAGCCACCAACCCTCCGCCTAGCCCCCAACCCTCCGCCTAGCCCCCAACCCTCCGCCTAGCCACCAACCCTCCGCCTAGCCCCCAACCCTCCGCCTAGCCACCAACCCTCCGCCTAGCCACCAACCCTCCGCCTAGCCACCAACCCTCCGCCTAGCCCCCAACCCTCCGCCTAGCCCCAACCCTCCGCCTAGCCACCAACCCTCCACCTAGCCCCCAACCCTCCGCCTAGCCCCCAACCCTCCGCCTAGCCACCAACCCTCCACCTAGCCACCAACCCTCCACCTAGCCCCCAACCCTCCACCTAGCCACCAACCCTCCACCTAGCCCCCCAACCCTCCACCTAGCCCCAACCCTCCACCTAGCCACCAACCTCCACCTAGCCCCCAACCCTCCACCTAGCCACCAACCCTCCACCTAGCCACCAACCCTCCACCTAGCCACCGACCCTCCACCAAGCCACCAACCTCCACCTAGCCACCAACCTTCCACCTAGCCCCCAACCCTCCACCTAGCCCACCAACCCTCCACCTAGCCACCAACCCTCCACCTAGCCACCAACCCTCCACCTAGCCACCAACCCTCCACCTAGCCACCGACCCTCCACCTAGCCACCAACCCTCCACCTAGCCACCAACCCTCCACCTAGCCCCCAACCCTCCACCTAGCCACCAACCCTCCACCTAGCCACCAACCCTCCACCTAGCCACCAACCCTCCACCTAGCCACCAACCCTCCACCTAGCCACCAACCCTCCACCTAGCCACCAACCCTCCACCTAGCCACCAACCCTCCACCTAGCCACCAACCCTCCACCTAGCCACCAACCCTCCACCTAGCCAACCCTCCCTAACCCTCCACCTAGCCACCAACCCTCCACCTAGCCACCAACCCTCCACCTAGCCACCACCCTCCACCTAGCCACCAACCCTCCACCTAGCCACCGACCCTCCACCTAGCCACCAACCTCCACCTAGCCACCAACCCTCCACCTAGCCACCAACCCTCCACCTAGCCACCAACCCTCCACCTAGCCACCAACCCTCCACCTAGCCATCCCTCCCACCCAACCCTCCACCTAGCCCCCAACCCTCCACCTAGCCACCAACCCTCCACCTAGCCACCAACCCTCCACCTAGCCACCAACCCTCCACCTAGCCACCAACCCTCCACCTAGCCACCAACCCTCCGCCTAGCCACCAACCCTCCGCCTAGCCACCAACCCTCCACCTAGCCCCCAACCCTCCACCTAGCCACCAACCCTCCGCCTAGCCCCCAACCCTCCACCTAGCCACCAACCCTCCACCTAGCCACCAACCCTCCACCTAGCCACCAACCCTCCACCTAGCCCCCAACCCTCCACCTAGCCACCAACCCTCCGCCTAGCGTCCAGTAGTCTTCACTTCTGGGAGATGCACATGGAATAGCATAATATAAACTCTGTTATATATAATTGTCTTAACACGGTCGAGGTTCTCAAGCGATATTCCCCTCCCACTGATGTCAGCACATTCCCCATGAGCACAGTTGTCAGCACATTCCCCATGAGCACTGTTGTCAGCACATTCCCCATGAACACTGTTGTCAGCACATTCCCCATGAGCACCGTTGTCAGCACATTCCCCATGAGCACTGTTGTCAGCACATTCCCCATGAACACTGTTGTCAGCACATTCCCCATGAGCACTGTTGTCAGCACATTCCCCATGAGCACTGTTGTCAGCACATTCCCCATGAACACTGTTGTCAGCACATTCCCCATGAGCACTGTTGTCAGCACATTCCCCATGAACACTGTTGTCAGCACATTCCCCATGAGCACCGTTGTCAGCACATTCCCCATGAGCACTGTTGTCAGCACATTCCCCATGAACACTGTTGTCAGCACATTCCCCATGAGCACCGTTGTCAGCACATTCCCCATGAGCACTGTTGTCAGCACATTCCCCATGAACACTGTTGTCAGCACATTCCCCATGAACACTGTTGTCAGCACATTCCCCATGAGCACTGTTGTCAGCACATTCCCCATGAACACTGTTGTCAGCACATTCCCCATGAACACTGTTGTCAGCACATTCCCCATGAACACTGTTGTCAGCACATTCCCCATGAGCACAGTTGTCAGCACATTCCACATGAGCACAGTTGTCAGCACATTCCACATGAGCACTGTTGTCAGCACATTCCATATGGGCACTGTTGTCAGCACATTCCCTGGAACATACCTGGAGAGGGTTCTGGGAGTTCTTCTACTCCCCGAGCCCGACCTGAGGCCAGGCTTGACTTGTGATAACTTGGTCCAATAGGCTGTTGCTTGGAGTGGCCCGCAGGCCCACTTATCCACTACAGCCTGGTTGGTCCGGCACTTCTTGCAAGAACTTATCTAAGTGCCTCTTAAATACATCTACCTTTGTTCAATCAATATTTCTAATGCTTGCTGGGAGGGTGTTGAACAGCTGTGGACCTCTGATGTTCAGTGCTCTCTGATTGTGCTAATGGCACCTCTACTCCTCACTGGTTCTATTCTGCATTTCCTTCCGTACCTTTCACTCCTTTTTTGTTATTCAACTGTGCAAATTTGGTACCTGACCCACCAGTATCTTCCACATATATATATATATATATATATATATATATATATATATATATATATATATATATATATATATATATATATATATATATATATATATATATATATATATATAATATACCTTTCTCGTCTCCTTTCCCAAGAGTTCATTTTGAGAGCTTTGAGACTGTCCCAGTAACAAAACTTCCACACAGGGGAATAGCTCAAGCATGTCCCATCAGCACTGATATCAGTATAGTCCCCATGATTACCGTTCTGAGCTCGCCTCATGAACATTAATACACTGAGAGCACACCCCATGAGCACTACAGCTTTGAGAGCACACCCCATGAGCACTACAGCTTTGTAAACACACCCCATGAGCACTACAGCTTTGAGAGCACACCCCATGAGCACTACAGCTTTGAGAGCACACCCCATGAGCACTGCAGCTTTGTAAACACACCCCATGAGCACTGCAGCTTTGAGAGCACACCCCATGAGCACTACAGCTTTGAGAGCACACCCCATGAGCACTGCAGCTTTGAGAGCACACCCCATGAGCACTGCAGCTTTGAGAGCACACCCCATGAGCACTACAGCTTTGTAAAACACACCCCATGAGCACTACAGCTTGAGAGAGCACACCCCATGAGCACTACAGCTTTGAGAGCACACCCCCATGAGCACTGCAGCTTTGAGAACACACCCCATAAGCACTACAGCTTTGAGAGCACACCCAATGAGCACTGCAGCTTTGAGAGCACACCCCATGAGCACTACAGCTTTGAGAACACACCCCATGAGCACTACAGCTTTGAGAGCACACCCCATGAGCACTACAGCTTTGAGAGCACACCCCATGAGCACTACAGCTTTGAGAGCACACCCCATGAGCACTACAGCTTTGAGAGCACACCCCATGAGCACTACAGCTTTGTAAACACACCCCATGAGCACTACAGCTTTGAGAGCACACCCCATGAGCACTACAGCTTTGAGAGCACACCCCATGAGCACTACAGCTTTGAGAGCACACCCCATGAGCACTACAGCTTTGAGAGCACACCCCATGAGCACTACAGCTTTGAGAGCACATCCCGAGCACAGGCTTTGAGAGCACACCCCCAAGCACTGCGCAGCTTTGAGAGCACAACCCCATTAGCACTGCAGCTTTCTGAGAGCACACCCCATGAGCACTGCAGCTTTGAGAGCACACCCCATGAGCACTACAGCTTTGAGAGCAAAAACCATGAGCACTATGAGAGCACACCCCATGAGCACTACAGCTTTGAGAGCACACCCCATGAGCACTACAGCTTTGAGAGCACACCTGAGAGCACACCCCATGAGCACTACAGCTTTGAGAGCACACCCCCATGAGCACTACAGCTTTGAGAGCACACCCCCATGAGCACTACAGATTTGAGAGCACACCCCATGAGCACTGCAGCTTTGAGAGCACACCCCCATGAGCACTACAGCTTTGAGAGCACACCCCATGAGCACTACAGCTTTGAGAGCACACCCCCATGAGCACTACAGCTTTGAGAGCACACCCCCATGAGCACTACAGCTTTGAGAGCACACCCCATAAGCACTACAGTTTTGAGAGCACACCCCATGAGCACTACAGCTTTGAGAGCACACCCCATGAGCACTACAGCTTTGAGAGCACACCCCATGAGCACTACAGCTTTGAGAGCACACCCCATGAGCAATACAGCTTTGAGAGCACATCCCCATGAGCACTACAGCTTTGAGAGCACACCCCCAAGAGCACTACAGCTTTGAGAGCACACCCCCATGAGCACTACAGCTTTGAGAGCACACCCCCATGAGCACTGCTGCTTTGAGAACACACCCCATGAGCACTACAGCTTTGAGAACACACCCCATGAGCACTGCAACTTTGAGAGCACACCCCCATGAGCACTTCTGCTTTGAGAGCACACCCAGATGAGCACTACAGCTTTGAGAGCACACCCCATGAGCACTACAGCTTTGAGAGCACACCCCATGAGCACTATAGCTTTGAGAGCACACCCCATGAGCACTACAGCTTTGAGAGCACACCCCATGAGCACTACAGCTTTGAGAGCACACCCCATGAGCACTACAGCTTTGTAAACACCCCATGAGCACTACAGCTTTGAGAGCACACCCCATGAGCACTACAGCTTTGAGAGCACACCCCATAAGCACTGCAGCTTTGAGAGCACATCCCATGAGCACTGCAGCTTTGAGAGCACACCCCCATGAGCACTACAGCTTTGTAAACACACCCCCATGAGCACTACAGCTTTGTAAACAAACCCCCATGAGCACTACAGCTTTGTAAACACACCCCCATGAGCACTACAGCTTTGAGAGCACACCCCATGAGCACTACAGCATTGAGAGCACACCCCCATGAGCACTGCAGCTTTGAGAACACACCCCATGAGCACTATAGCTTTGGGAGCACATCCGCATGAGCACTACAACATTGGGAGCACACCCCATGAGCACTACAGCATTGAGAGCACACCCCATGAGCACTACAGCTTTGAGAGCACACCCCATGAGCACTACAGCATTGAGAGCACACCCCCATGAGCACTACAGCTTTGAGAGCACACCCCATGAGCACTACAGCTTTGAGAGCACACCCCATGAGCACTACAGCTTTGAGAGCACACCCCCATGAGCACTGCAGCTTTGAGAGCACACCCCCATGAGCACTACAGCTTTGAGAGCACACCCAGATGAGCACTACAGATTTGAGAGCACACCCCATGAGCACTCCAGCTTTGAGAGCACACCCCATGAGCACTATAGCTTTGAGAGCACACCCCATGAGCACTGCAGCTTTGAGAGCACACCCCCATGAGCACTACAGCTTTGAGAGCACACCCAGATGAGCACTACAGATTTGAGAGCACACCCCCATGAGCACTACAGCTTTGAGAGCACACCCCATGAGCACTACAGCTTTGAGAGCACACCCCATGAGCACTACAGCTTTGAGAGCACACTCCATGAGCACTACAGCTTTGTAAACACACCCCATGAGCACTACAGCTTTGTAAACACACCCCATGAGCACTACAGCTTTGAGAGCACACCCCATGAGCACTACAGCTTTGAGAGCACACCCCATAAGCACTGCAGCTTTGAGAGCACATCCCATGAGCACTGCAGCTTTGAGAGCACACCCCCATGAGCACTACAGCTTTGTAAACACACCCCCATGAGCACTACAGCTTTGTAAACAAACCCCCATGAGCACTACAGCTTTGTAAACACACCCCCATGAGCACTACAGCTTTGAGAGCACACCCCATGAGCACTACAGCATTGAGAGCACACCCCCATGAGCACTGCAGCTTTGAGAACACACCCCATGAGCACTATAGCTTTGGGAGCACATCCCCATGAGCACTACAACATTGGGAGCACACCCCATGAGCACTACAGCATTGAGAGCACACCCCATGAGCACTACAGCTTTGAGAGCACACCCCATGAGCACTACAGCATTGAGAGCACACCCCCATGAGCACTGCTGCTTTGAGAACACACCCCATGAGCACTATAGCTTTGAGAGCACATCCCCATGAGCACTACAACATTGAGAGCACACCCCATGAGCACTACAGCATTGAGAGCACACCCCATGAGCACTGCAGCTTTGAGAACACACCCCATGAACACTACAGCTTTGAGAGCACACCCCATGAGCACTATAGCTTTGAGAGCACACCCCATGAGCACTACAGCTTTGAGAGCACACCCAGATGAGCACTACAGCTTTGAGAGCACACCCCCATGAGCACTGCAGCTTTGAGAGCACATCCCCATGAGCACTGCAGCTTTGAGAGCACATCCCCATGAGCACTGCAGCTTTGAGAGCACACCCCATGAGCACTACAGCTTTGAGAGCACACCCCATGAGCACTACAGCTTTGAGAGCACACCCCCATGAGCACAGCAGCTTTGAGAGCACACCCCATGAGCACTACAGCTTTGAGAACACACCCCATGAACACTACAGCTTTGAGAGCACACCCCATGAGCACTACAGCTTTGAGAGCACACCCCATGAGCACTACAGCTTTGAGAGCACACCCCATGAGCACTACAGCTTTGAGAACACACCCCCATGAGCACAGCAGCTTTGAGAGCACACCCCATGAGCACTACAGCTTTGAGAGCACACCCCATGAGCACTGTAGCTTTGAGAGCACACCCCATGAGCACTAAGGCTTTGAGAGCACACCCCATGAGCACTACAGCTTTGAGAACACACCCCATGAGCACTACAGCTTTGAGAGCACACCCCCATGAGCACTACAGCTTTGAGAGCACACCCCCATGAGCACTGCAGCTTTGTAAACACACCCCATGAGCACTGCAACTTTGAGAGCACACCCCATGAGCACTACAGCATTGAGAGCACACCCCCATGAGCACTGCTGCTTTGAGAACACACCCCATGAGCACTACAGCTTTGAGAACACACCCCATGAGCACTACAGCTTTGAGAGCACACCCCATGAGCACTACAGCTTTGAGAGCACACCCCCATGAGCACTGCTGCTTTGAGAACACACCCCATGAGCACTACAGCTTTGA